TTTATTGCCAATAGTCTAGGAAAGTTTATTAACATAATTTTACAATGTAATATACCTAATAGTTGTTAACTTGTTAGTGTTATCTGTTTTAACATTTTATTTTATTTTTAATATCTGTATTTCTTGTTATTGTGTTGTTGTTTTTGTTTTTTGTGTATGATTATTGACCATGGTTAATGTATTTCCAATTCATTAATTTGAGTCAAATAAAATATACTATACTATACTACTATAAAAAAGTTGCCTAATTCATGTATTAGAGTGCATTGCAATAAGGAAAGTACATTCGATTAACTACATTGAATATGACTGTGTTCATATACCTCAGCTTGTGTGAAAAGGTCCTGTGTTGTCTTCAAAGGTCCTTCACCTCTAGTAAATAAATACATAGAATACGCCATACTGGACATATTCTTGGTTCTCTTCACAATATCATTCTCAGTATCTTCCCATTTATCAGCGTCTGCATCTAACTCTGATGTCATCAGTTTCATTTCCAGCCCTGCCTTGGCAATTTTAGCTTGTTCCTGTTGGTGAGGTCAACAAGAGGTTGAATCCAGACAGTTTTTTATTGGCTTGTTCATTTAGGTAAAATGATTGAATAAACTATGAGGAATCCTCAAAATGCAGGAAAACTAGCTTTTCATAAAACTACCAGTATGTACTCTAAACACATTTTAATCTTTTATATAACCTTGACAAACATAATCTAAATTGGATTGCATGACATTCTAGCCTCATTCTGAGGGAAAGGAAAGAGCGCCCTCTACACTTAAACTGAAATAGAGATTTAAAGTCAATTCACCTCTGGGTCTAGCTTCACAGGCTTGACTGAGACTGACTTCAAAGTCGTTCCATGTTTCTGTAAAGAGTCAAATATTAAATATACACAGTGAACAACAGTAATTATCTGGGGGTGGTGTTAAAACAAACCAGTTAAGCATAAAATTAGAAAATTTCAGATTAGCCTTATTTCAAGAGATAATAGCAGATCAGAGATTGGCACCAATCTCACAGATGTGAACAATGAGGAGCAACAATTGTTAAAAAAAGATTTTGTTGAAACAAGTAAGAGTTTCAGAGAAACCAGTAGAGAAAGAAGAGTTACAGAAACACCATAGATATTAGAAACATTCACTTGATGATTAAAAGACTTGTTTGTAAAATGGTTAGCATTATGATTGAACACTTCACAGGTAATTAATACTATTTGGATTATAATGTAAAATGATAACATTGACTGCAGTACGCAAAGAGCACAGTATAATGTAAACAACTTCAGTGATGGTATGTGTTTTTTCTATACCTTACTGTACCAGTTTTATTTAAATAAGTGACACTATCAGAGCACCTTACAAGAAGATAATTACATTGCCAAAGACACCTTTGAACATTATCATTAATTTTAAAATTACCATAGGTTATGAATATCAATAAATAATACACTATGCAGGTGCAGAGATGTAGATTTGTTTTTTAAGTAGCCTGTATTTTATTCAGTAAAGGTGGTCATTTTAATTGGCTCCCGTCTGGTTCATTTTCACATCTCTGTAAATGCATTTTTGATGATAAAATTACTGAGGATTGATTTCCATGACCACTTTCATGACAAAATAAACCGTAGATGAAAACTGTCACTGAGATCTCGTTGACGGCAAGAGTGCAAATAGACTTGTTTCGGCCCCTCAAATAGCGTACCTTTCTCCCCCGTCATCAAGTCAACTATTCCAAAAACCATGGTTACATAAACCAGGAAAACAGTGGACACAATGGAATGCAGTTTGAGGAGCAAAATACAAGTAATGTGGCACTCCCGCTCTCAATGAATTCTCAATTTCTTTCAGAAGTCCCGTAACCTTTTCTACATAAAGGTGTTAAATGTTCACTCCTTCACATGTACATGTCATGTATGTTCCACAGATCTTGTAAAGAATGTTAGTGCAAGGGTAGAGAGAAAGATGGAAAAAACACTAGAATTAAAGGTATAAAACTACAGTTTACAGGTCTTCAGTACTTACTGAACCGTTAGGACTCTGTGCGGTTTATAATAAAGTTACGAACAAGTGTTGTGGGTGTTTTGTAAGGCAAATAACAGAAAAGAAAAGTTAGTCATTCAAAATAAACGTTTTTGTCTAAAAACGAAAAAAAAAACACAATTATGAGAGGAATAAACAGGCATTGACAGTGTAAAATATAGAATAAATTTTTGAACAGATTTGATTATTAAAAGATGATGTAAAAATAGGAAAGAATCAATAAGTGCAAGTGAAGATGATTTTAGAAAGAAAGTGTGTGATAAAATCATGTTTGTAACTTTGTTATTGCTTTCCCATGTATCATTTCTGATTATATATTGGCGGTCAAGAGATCTAATTGAAAATGCTCCATCACTACCAGACTCTTAGGACAGTTGTATCCTTATTTAAGTAACAACAAGTAATTGAATCACACAGCACCAGCAAATTATCAAGTTTTGTAACATAAGCTTAAGCTTGTACTATGAATCTAGAATGGTTCAACCCTCTTTTCAGTAGCACAGAGATTACCCTGGGTGATTTAGTTTATGCATATTCTGAAAAATAATAGTTTGACCCAGATTTATGGACCAACAATAATGAGATTACCCTGGGTAATTAAACCTACGCATGTACCAATACTAGAACAAGTCTGGATAACAAAGTCCATGCATACACTAAGCCGTTGGATTGGTTTGGCTGTCTTTTCAGTAG